GAAATTTTGCCCGGACAGTGGCACTACGGTCTACTCTTATCGACGCCCCGTTGGTGTACACACGCATGTAAAACAACCACTGACAGTGGTATCAATTGCTGTGCAGGCATAAGTTATGGCGTATACCCGTCTTCATTAGCCCAGTCGGAGAAGAACAGTACAACGTTAAACCCCATTTCATTTCACTATCAATTTGTACTACTTATTACATCTGTGTGTGAGTCAGATTGCTTGTAAATATTGATCAGTAATAAGTAGGTGGTCTATTCTGTTGAACACACCAAATCCTGTTACCAGACATCGGACCGATATCAAGAGAATAAACCCATTATAATAATTGACCTGTATCTCCCGGGATTTCAATAGTTGAACTTTGTGGAGTTCAAGGACATCTAAGGATATTATTTAATCCCCGGGAGACATCTGTGTAGCGTATTACTGTATAACAATAGGCACCCTGTCGACTAGTAGTGATCTGTTGGGCTATTGGAGACAAGTATACACCATACAGAGTGCTATGAAGGAAATTTCGCCCGACCAGAGACGTTACCGCCGCCAAGGGTTCTTTAGCGTCCATGCCAACGTCTACACGACAAAACGAGACGTCGTGGATTCTGTTAGAACTATATGGTGACTCAATGACAGACCTTATGATACAGCGCGCACGTGCTAACCATTCGGCCACCCAACCCCACTACCTAGATAACACTATCTGTTTATTAACTGACGTGTACGTCTGAAGATCGCTAGGGTCTTCTTGTATTTAAATACCCAAATTAAGTCTGAAATCTACGTAAATGTCAAATCGGGTTCTTATGTGTAGGATAAAGTACGAGACTGAGGTTATGCTGGGGAAAGAAAAGCTGAAGAAAATAATCCGAGAAAAAGAAAAACCGATGCCGGCAGGTCGAGGTTTTCTGTCGAGGTTTTTTTTTCTGAAGGCTTTCTTCCCCAGCGTAACCGAAGTCGGGGACTTTATCTTGCTTATAAGTTTACATGTACACAAGATGAAAATATCCCAGGATCCCCACAAGAAAAACCTTACATCATGTTTTCTTATGGAAAAAAACCTACACTGAAAGAATAACCTGTTACAGGTTTAAACAAAAACTTTCAGAAGAATAACCCCAAATTCCCCTGTATATATCCAAAGCCGTCCTTGACTTTCAGAGCGCAAGTTATTCCGGGCATAGAATATACCCCAAAGATCAAAGAGATTTACCGTTACAGGTTTATAAGATACTGCAACGAATGGCCGGTATCCAAACGCAATCTATCAAGGTCAAGGACGCATATGCCAAGAATAACCTGGTGTTTATCTCGTGGTGAAAATACTAATCCTACAGATCAATGTTTAAGATGACTTTCAGCATATTTTGATGAAATGAAATGAAATGGGGTTTAACGTCCTACTGTTCTGCTCCGACTGGGCTAATGAAGACGGGCATACGCCATACAGTGTGCTATGAAGGAAATTTTGCCCGGACAGCGGCACTACGGCCTACTCTTATATCGAATTCCAACTGTCAAGGGATCTTTAACGTGCATTCCAATGTATACACGGGACCTCGGTTTTTCGTCTCATCCGAAGAACTAGACAGCTGTCCTTGTCAGGCCCTCCGTCCTGCATCACTGACAAGGGGGAACCACGCCGGAAAATCTGGATGAACTTTCTCGGCCAATGCAGGGATCGAACACCCGACCTCCAGGCTAGCGAGCCAGCGTCTTACCCACTTAGCCACCTGATCCCCCGCATATTTTGATGATATATTTAGACTAAAAACATGTTCAAATTAATTTATCTATCAAACGTTTGCTTCAAATCCCTCTCAAAACATTTTAATCCCTGAAAAACTACAACCCAAGAATCTATTTTAGCAGTTTTATCCCTGAAAAACTACACCATGCCCCAAAGATCTATTTTAGCAGTTTTGTTTGTCATGTGAAACAATTTTTTATTATTATTATTTTCAAACAACGAATGATTATTGCTATTTATTCCATTTTCACATCGCACACCTCGGTCATATACAGGGGATCACGAGGCTAAGTGGGTAAGACGCTGGCTCGCTAGCCTGGAGGTCGGGTGTTCGATCCCTGGATTGGCTGAGAAAGTTCATTCAGATTTTCCGGCATGGTTTCCCTTTGTCAGTGATGCAGGATGGAGGTCCGGACAAGGACAACTGTCTAGTCGTTCGGATGGGACGAAAAACCGAGGTCCTGTGTACACATTGGCGTGCACGTAAAAGATCCCTTGGCAGTTGGAATTCGATATACGAGTAGGCCGTAGCGCCACTGCCTGGGCAAAATTTCCCTCATAGCACACTGTATGGCGTATGCCCGTCTTCATTAGCCCAGGTTAGGAGCAGAACAGTAGGACGTTAAACCTAAATGAAATGAAATAAAATGAAATGGGGTTTAACGTCCTACGTTACTGTTCGGCTCCTAACCTGGGCTAATGAAGTCGGGATGCTTAGTGATGGCCGGTTGGGGAGGTTTGGGAATATCCGACGGTAGATTGGACCAAAGATGAGTCCACAACGGCCGCTTCATATAAATGTGTATTTTGAGACAACTAACCCTAACCATGACCCTTTTAAGAGGGGTAAAGGGTAAATTGGATCCAAGTTCAGTCTTCCTAAAAGGGTTAGGGTCAGAGTTGGTATTCCCTCAAAACACTCATTTACGAGAATGGATTCGGCAATAATCTGAAATTCCCAATTAGTATCTCCCGATATCTTATACAATCTTCTTGATCATATGCCTCTCCCCTCCCTCGATTCAACGACGACGCCTAACAATCAAAAATACGAGAAAGGGACATCTTCTAAATATAGAAAATTGATTGGACGCCAGCTGTTCTCTACAATAAGGCATGTGATCATTCAACCTGTCACAGGCTGAAACAGACCAGATATCAACCGAAGCGGACCTGACAGACATATCATTTTACGTTGAAAACGGAAGAGGTAACTCCAACAGTCAATAAAAATACGCTGACAGACTGACGTCATACACAAGTGAAAATCGTCGTGTAACTACTGACCGATAATATTAAGACGTTACAAACAATAAAGAACAAAACAAAAGAGCACTCATCCAGAGTAAAGGTAAACGCGTCAGATTTATTTTCACGTTTTTAGCAGCGTTCTCGAAGCTATCTACGGAAACAAATAAAGGATAATCGAAATTAAGATTTAAAATGAATAGGGTTTAACGTCCTACTTTTCTGCGTCGACTGGGCTAATAAAGACGGGCATATGCCATTTACATGAGGGTTAACGTCCACTCCACACAAAACAGGTCATTTCGGGACTAATATGGTTCAATTTTATTTCAATAATTCGCTTACGCGTAGAGATATTTAGCAGTCGGTGGAAACCGGAGGACCCGGAGAAAATACACGAGGTTTGACAAGCGAGCCTACTCCTTGTCACCTACAACCGGGAAATCAAAACCACGCCAGGATAGTTGACTCAATGACAGACCTTAAGATGCAACGGGCACGCTCTAACCATTCGGCCATCCAACCCCCTTCGTATTATTACTAACTATTACTGTTACCAAGGATTTAGGTCCGCTTCCATATAATGTGATATCGCAGACAAATGATGTCGAAGTAAATGAGCAGTACGGATCTAGTTCAATATGATAGCCTCACCCGGGACACGACTGCAACACGCAGACAAAACGGCCATGTGACGCAAGGCATCACACCTCCCCAACATCCCATCAAGTAGGTTAAGTCGCTCACTTGTCAGTTCGTCTAATAACCGAAGTAGAAACGAAATGGACAGAGAGGTGACAATAAAATTTACCCATATCGAATGTGTCTCAATAAATTATTATTCAATAAAATAACCAACATAAACCCCGAAATTAAAATCCGTTTAATTCTAATTCCATCTTTTTTTTCATAATATCATAAGAAAATCTGTGTTACACTGTGGCTTGTCTCTTCCTCCTTCAATTGTTACACTCTCAACAGCAGGACGTTAAAGCGATAATTTTATATTTTTAAGTTATATTTTTAAAATGTATTAAAATAAAGAGATTCCGTTGAGTTATTCCGTTGAGGGGGGGGGGGATACAAAACCAGGGAGGTAATTGTGTTATTATTTCCGGGGTGAATGAATTTTAAGTGTGAGAATGATACCCATGGTCGTATAATAGTGAGTTGACAACCTATTGGGCAAAAGACATAGAAATAATTATATGTTTTGATTCTTTTAGAAAATATGAAATTCTCACTTTAAAACCCATTTCATTTATTAACAATGTTTTTTTTCTATCATTAGTATGAGATTTAAAGGTCACACGCCCCCTGGCTTTAATCTGTTGAGATTTTATTTCATTGACACTTCCTAGCTAATCAATTAAAATTTGATCACTTGTCGTCTGCTTGATGCTGTCTGGCCAAACTAAACGTCAGAAAAAAATGCATTTTGCTATGGCCATCGTTAGTTCTCCGGGATGGGGGCCCATACGAAATTTCTTCTCACGGGGCCCCTTCCTGGTCACTGAGAAAAAGTCAGAGAAATTTTGCATGGGCAGTGGCGTTTCGTCCTAATCGAATTCCAACTGCCGAGGGGTCTTTTACGTGTACTTGGGATCTCGGGTTTTCGGATTATCCAAACGACTAGAGACTGTTCCTTTCCAGGTCATTCACCTTACACCACCGACAAGTGTGAAACCAGGATAGAAAATCTTAAGCAACGTTTTCGGGATCGAACCTGGGACCTCCTGGTTAGTGCACCAGCACCTCAATCACTGCGCCACCATGGTTCCAAGTGGCTAGGCATCGTCTCTGGCAGAACCACAGGATTCTTACTACAACCAGACGTCTGTGATGTTTCAACCGATCAATATTACTGATGAAAGACGAACGATATAAAACAAATATGGACGAGACGGGATTAATAGAACCGGGTTGTAATTTGAACACGCTCGGTTGAAAATCGTGCATGTAATAAAACGAATATAAAATACGTGCAGCCTACCTGTAACCAAAATAAAACCTAGTTCAAATTGTCTTGACTCCATCACGCTGACTGCCCGGGTAATGGTATTCACTTCACACGCCGTAGGCTTGCTCGCTTTCCACCGGTATTATTATTATTACGGCGATTCTTCATAGACTTTTCGTTCAGTCGATTCTACCGCCTGATCGATCGACAATCATAGTCTCGTCTTACCAGACTGTTGATTGGTTCGACATGCACGCGCTCGATGGTGTTGTTTACGGTGATGAGTAGTGGTCTTTGTATTTCTATTGTCTGATTTTCCTGTGAGTCAAATTCGTTTAACAATTGATAGTGGATGCGCCAGATATGCCATTATGTCTGAGAAAATAACTCAATACAAAGCTTCGCGCATTCTGCACACAGAGAGCTCTCTACTTCGAGAACAGATCTCTGTCCTGAATGGCCGCCATATCCAAATATAGACAAATACTCACAAAGACTATACATTTTTAATTTGATTAAATGTAAGCGGGATAAATACTTCGCAATATGCTTAGTGTTTTCGACTAAAATCGTCGATTTAGGAATTCAAATGTCGGTATACTAGCTTAGTGTCTGTACCCAAGTAGAGCTAATTATAGACAGGCAGCATAGTGAAAATGAAATGGGGTTTAACGTCCTACTGTTCTGCTACGACTGGCCTAATGAAGACGGGAATACGTCATACAGTGTGATATGAGGGAAATATTGCCCGGGCAGCGGAACTATGGCCTACTCTTATATCGAATTCCACCCGCCAAGGGATCTTTTACGTTAAGGCCAATGTATACACGAGATCTCGGTTTTTCGTACCATGCAAACGACTAGACAACTGTCCTTGTCAGGTCCTCCAGGTATGAGTTTCGCGCTGTGTGGGATTAAAACACAATTTTGTAAATCCGAGGATGATGACGGGTGATTAAGACTAGGCTAAAGAGCGTGTAACAAACCCCCAAAATATTATACACTGTAGTGTCAGGGGTTCTTTAACGTACACGTGACCTCGGTTTATCGTCCCATCCGAATGACTAGACGATGTTCCCTGCAAGCCCCTCCGCCCAGAACCACGACGGAATATAGTGGGGAACCGCTACGGCTACATGTATAGATTAGCTAGTATTGCGAACTGATTTATTATGGAGATGTATCATTGAGTTGACTGGCGTAGGTTTCAATTCCCCGGTTGTACGCGACAAGGAGTAGGGTGACCTATCCAACCTCGTGGGGTTTCTCTTGGTCCTCCGGTTTCCTCCCACTGTTAAAGGCCCCTACGCGCAAGCGAATTATTGAAATAAAATTGAACCATGTGTTAGTCCCGAAATGGCCTAGTTTGTGTTGGGTGGACGTTAAACCCCATTTCTCTTTCTCTCATTATGGAGATGGGTCCCAGTTCATCCATCCAGAGCCATTATGGAATATAGCGGGGGACTGACTGCCAAGGCTACATGTATAGATTAGTTTGAACTGATATATTATGGAGATGGATTCCAGTTCATCCGTCTAGAACCAGGGTGAAATATAGCGAGGAACCGATACGGCTATATGTATAGATTAGGTTGGACTGATGTATTATAGAAATGGGTTCCAGTTCATTCGTCAAGAACCAGAGTGAAATATAGCGGGGAACTGCCACGGCTAATATAGATTAGGTTGGACGGATGTATTATGTAAATGGGTTTCAGTTGATCCGTCAAGAACCAGGGTGAAATATAGTGGGGAACTGCCACGGCTAATATAGATTAGATTGAACTGATGTATTATGGAAATGGGTTCCAGTTCATCCATCCAGAACCAGGGTGGAATATACCGAGGAACTGCCACGGCTAAATGTACAGAGTAGGTTGGATTGCGAACTGATTTATTATGGAAATGGGTTCTAGTTGAGTAGTTATCATCTAGTTGTAGAGATATCCTGACACAGATCGATAGAGTCTAATAATTGAACTGATTGACTTATTGATGGTCTGGTCCTAATTTCTCACGTTAACAGACCATAAAACAGAGCCAGGATTCAAAACGTACTTGTCATGGAAAGATAACTAGCTGTGTAGACCAGGTTGGCGGCTAAGCCACCTGGATGGTTTAATAATATCAGAATAAATTGATATTAAGATAGGGAACTACATATAATAATAATAATAATAATAATAATCAAAAAGTTTGCTCACTGGCGCTGAGTTAGTCCGTCACATTTACAACAGTTTCCCATCATCTGCACTGAATAGGTGTGTTTTTAGCAAGGATTTGAATGTACACAATGATTTCGCATCCTTAATATGGGATGGCAGCCTGTTCCACAATTTAGGAGCAGCAACAGAAAAACTTTTGTCTCCACATTTCACATAATTTGATCTCGGGATTTCTAATTGTTGTAGGACAGTATGGCGGTTCAGTCTACTGTATGATTTAATATAAAAATATAGTAGGGAAAGATAATGACAAAAAGATTGGGACCTACACAACCATCATTAACAATGATAGTGCATATCAATCAATTTAATTTAATTTGTGTTGTTGTTGGGGTTTTTTTTAAATCAATGCCATGTATTCTTTCTATAAATGTTTTAATTGGTTTTAATTGTGTTGTTCTGTGTTGCTGCTGACTCCTCTATTTCTTCTCGAGTAACTTTTATCCTGGGAGAGTCATGCGCAACCCTAATGGAATGTCTATTATACCGTTCAGACGCTTATTTTTAAACCAGTTCGAAATCGCCGGGGGTTTTAAGACAACTATTCTGACCTCTTCTGTCGGAGGTTAGAGTTAACTAGCTTCATATTCTTTATTCGGTTCTCGCACGCTTTCGATAACATTGGCATTGTCTGACCCCGATATTTTCACAGGAATGTAACTTACTGCGTAATGCGCATCCTCATAGCAAGCTAGAGCCGGTTTTTTTTAAGCCAACCTGTTCAGACGGCCAAGATGAATCAGTTTAAAATAAAAAGCCTTCTCGAAGACAAGTCCAGAGCTAGGTTTTTTAAACTGGTTTATTTGCCCCACATTTGCGTTCAGACGACAAAGTTGAACTGGTTTAACGATCCCTGGGTTTTTTTTTTAAAACCAGTTCAACTTAAGCGTCTGAACGGGCTATAAAACTCTCAGACGCTGAATTTGTGAACCACATTAATGAACTTTTCTTTTTTAACTTTCAACTATGTGGAACTTATTGGACGAACAGTTTTTAATATGTAAATAATCTATGAGTCCAGCTATATGGTTTTTTTTTGTTGTTTTTTTTACTTCGAGCACTTCGCTTTTCCTCATTAAACAGCAGATTCTTTTTCCCACAGGGATTTTTCAATCCGCTGTTATGGCATCAAATAGCCGGACCTCCTGTTTTAACTTGTTTACATTATGACAAAGTGAGAAGATGACCCGCCCTCTCCTCTCACGACAACGATTTTAAAACTGCGACTTTTAGATATACACGAACTTTTTATTTTTAGTGGTTTTACCTATCGATTCCCCGGTTGTACTTGACAAGGAGCAGGGTCGCCCTGTCCAACCACGTGAGTTTTCTCCGGGCCCCCCGGTTTCCTCCCACTAAAGACCCCTACGCGCAAGCGAATTTTTGAAATAAAATTGAACCATATGTTAGTCCCGAAATGACCTAGTTTGTGCCAAGTGGACGTTAAACCCATCTCTCTCTCTCTCTCTCTCTCTCTCTCTCTCTCTCTCTCATTCAGGTGTAAATAACTTTATTAAATCAACCTGTCCATAATATCATACATTATGTATTGGACGTTAAATTTGTAATAAACAACAACAAACAAAACGCATTCTGTACACAGAGGAGTAACTACTTCGGAAATGGATCTCTACCCGAGATGGCCGCCATATCCAACAATTTGCATACTGTTTTATAAAGCGGTCATAAACGAGTTCACATATGTTATTACAAAACAAAAACTTTTGTTGTTTTAATGTTTCAAATACATCAATAAGAAGCTATGTGCAAAGTTTTATGTTTCTTGTTCAAAGACATTTCTCATAAACAGTGATTGAAAATTGTAAGGCCTGAGAATGCTTTGTGAACAGGGGGGCAGGACAACTGTGGCCTTGTGCTAGTTAGGTTATATGGCCCCTTACATGGGCCCTGAAGGATATAGGCCCGGCATGCCTTCACAGGCATACATGCTCAGAGGTGTAGTTAAAATATTACCTGTTTCCTGCATGATTAATAATTATTTTCAACAAGTTTTAGACAAATGTTTGAGTTATCAGCAGGGTTTTGAAAAACGTGGCACTGTGTTTAAACACACATAAGCACAATGGTAAATACCGCACCGACAAACCGCCATTTCATTTCATTTCAATTCTGCCTCTGTTTGACAATCTGTCATTCAAACTAACCACTCGACTATCACCGCCTTGTTCAAGCAGCAACTAGATCGATAGTCAAATGACCGAATTATTCCACGGTCTGATGTATCGACAAACTGACCTAATAGTTCATTTACTCATCAGCCGGCCATATACAAAACTGGCAGAGGGAGACTATCGGATGCACGGTTAACCAGATGGATATAATCATGTTCCAATTCGGTATCTCTTTCACTTTTGGAGAGCGACACAAACTAGGTCATTTTGGGACTAACATATGGTTCAATTTTATTTCAATAATTCGCTTGCGCATAGGGGTCTTTAGCAGTGGGAGGGAACCGGAGGACCCGAAGAAAACCCACGAGGTTGGACAGGCGACCCTACTCCTTGTCACGTACAACCGGGGGAATCTAAACCACGCCGGTTGACTCAATGGCAGACCTTATAATACAACGCGCACGCGCTAACCATTCGGCCATTCAATCGCCCTTTATTGATTATAGTCAGCAGACGAAAACTCAGTATACCCGCTGTGTCTCCATTATTGATTTACTAGATTGAAACACAAATTGGTTGGCTTCCTTGATTACACATTAAATCTTCCAATCCCGACGAGTTAACAAATATCGTTTTACTCATCTAAATATGTAACTGAGAAATTAAATAGCCTTGTGCTTATGGAAAACCAAACAGCTCTTAATTCTTAGTTTTTAGTTCCTAGTTCCTAATTCATCGTCTTTCATTCTGATTTCTTTATTTGTTATCGTATTTCGACATTTGTATACTAAAATTAACATTTATGGAAAACGAAACAGCTGTTAATTCGTAGTT